ACAAATGTTAATCACGCAAACACGCGCCGACAGAGGGCGCCTTGATACAGCAGCGTCCCGACGATAAGTACTGGCCGTCGCCAGACATCGCGTGTTTCAAAATCAATATACTAGCTAGCTAAACCTCTCCTTGCAACTGGCAATCGACGTCAGAGGCGCGTGTGGGTGTGTACACTATACTACAGCAGCGGCATTCGCGAGTCAATGATGTGGATCTGTAAATATTACGTACGTAATCGCTAAATATGCGCAAATACAGACACATGCAGGCCCGCACGTGCCGTAAACAGTAGGATTAATTGGTTATTGAGATGACAACAGCGACCATTGAAGAATACGAATACAATATCACAGTCAATTTACTTGAAACTCTAGTATAATTAAATGTATTTACAGCATCTAGGGTATTAGAAGCATTACATTTAAATTAGCACTAGAATGACCACCTAATAAACCCATGCGCACACCATGTTTATGTTTTTATTGCCACTGCCTTTGCAGCAAGCGACCAGCCAGTGTGGGAAAATGGTTAATAATCATTAACGCTAATTGAATTTTACAAAATTACTACCCACGTGGTACCGTTTAAATGTTAATAAAATATAACATTTAGTGACACTTCTAAAAGTCAGGCTTTACAGAAGAGAGTTCGTCCTTACGTTTCGCGGTACAGCAATGGGACATCAATGCAGACATGCATGCTAGTACAGAGTAATCGTCGCATCCCTTCGTACAGCACAATGACAAGAGATTGATGACAGATTTCATACTGAATAAGAAGAGCTAGTTTACGGTTACTTAGCACACCGTTATCAGAAGTAAATAATCAAAAATTATTGTATATATCACATATTTGTGATTATTTACTCCTGCAGTTATTATATGATCAATATCTATCTGATCAAATCTATATATCTATATCTATATCTATATATCTATCAAATCTATCAATATCAAATCTATATGATAATCATACGATACAGATAAAAAATACAAAGGCGTATCATGCGTTTCCGCATAACAACGTTGGAAATGCAACCGATTGTAAGAGACACACAGACAAAAAAATACAGAGATCCGATTGGGAGTGAATGTGAGTCATGCTGTCAGACTGCTGAGGGAGGAAGAGGGAGAGCAAGGTTAGATCAAGAATAAGGGTAAGATGGTGAAAGACTGTGTGCGTGTGTGTGTGTGTGTGTGTGTGTGTTTGTGTGCGCGCGCGTGTGTGTGTGCGCGCGCGCGTGCGTGCGTGCGTGTGTGTGCGTGAGCGCTCGCGTATTTTTTCAGTCTGGCGAGGAAAGTGAGCATGTGTACGTGTACGTGTGCGTGTGCGTACGTGTGCGTGCATGTACGTCTGCGTGAGAGAGCGACAGAGAAATTTCGAAAATAGCACTGGTACAAAATCCCCGACGGCAAATGCTTTGGCTCTGTAAAGTTGGCATGTAAGAAGCTTCTCTGAAGAATTGTGCTCAACTGCATTCAGTTACGATTTCCCGATCGCTAGTAAATACACGAAATTTACTATGCGAGTCTGCTTTCTCGTCCGATCCCCTCTCCCCTTACCGATTCATTCTCTTCACGGTGAAAGGAAACGACGACCAATTTTCTAGCGTTGTGCATAACATAGCATTCTTTCACAATGTGAAGAATTTCAAAGCGATTACAATCCACACATTGAAAAGTTGGACGAACATACATATACAAAGAGTAATGTCCAAGAAACGGATTAAAATCACTTGTGCAAAATTTAATGTCCATTAATTTATAATCGAAGTTAAAAGTCAATGCCCAAGTTAAAGGCGAATACACATACACAGAGTTTTCGCCAGTGCAGACAATTACAAGTGTATGCAGGCAATCCCGGAGCTACCCTGTCGTCAGCTATTAAAAGTACACACCTGGATAACAAAAATTTATGCAACCATGGCTATATTACCTACCCTTCATCAGAGCACCACCCTTCCTATCTGCTGATCATTCAACTTGTAATCGAATGTGTATTCATCGATGCTGTAGGCATTCCCTACAACTAGATCAACTGAGACACGATTGCAAATGAAATGAACTACTGAGAACATCAAACGTGTATTGAAAAATATGTTTCAGAATACAAGCGAATTATAGGCTTGCCTAATAGCTAACATGTTATTGATTACTTCAGCATAAAGATTACCATGGGTTTATGCTGTTATGGTAAATAAAATAGCAAATAATGCAGCCAAGTTCTTTCGTATACCGACAATTCCCTTGAAATCGTCAACCACCAGACAAAAGTGCATCTAATTGAGTGACGTAGTGGTTCTAGACTGGTACAACATCGCCATTAAGACCATCATCAAGTTAACAAACATGTAGAAGTACAGGGAGAGGGTCCCGCGATAAACAAGTGGCATCATCACGTAACCGCGTCAACACGATGTAAGTAAACAAATTTCAATCGTTGTATATTTTTGTGAACATAACAATGTACGAGTGTTATGAGACATGCTAGCCTTACTTTAGACACTTGTTGTTATACGCAATCAATACCAATAAGTACTGTATAGTAGTCGGAAAATACGATAACGGTCAGGAAGACTGTTTGAAATAACTACTTTAAGAAGAGAGCGCACACAAGTCAAGTACGCACGGGCAACCCGTACGTAGCAAGCAGAATGCCTAGCCAGCAATGTAAGTTACACAATAATTCTCTTGTGAGGCGATGACAGCCAGATGCCAAGCAACAATTTATGTGCAACCTTCAAGAAGATCTCAGAAATCTGGAACGGAGCCATAGGCGCGTCGCCAACGTATTCTCGCGAGCGACTTATTTATGGAAATAAGTGAAATCCTGCGCAGAATGTAGAGTGTGCACTAAAACACACGGCGAGAGAGCAACACGGGAGTTTCTTTACACTGAGAGTCTGTTACCTTTCCGATACTGCGTGCGTGTGCAGTTTTAACAGTCAAATCTCGGCTTCTGCCAAAGTGGTGCACTTCTCCGGGGGGCAAACGCAAACTTGCTGTTTATGCTCACTCGCGAAGAGTAAAGCATCTAGAGTGGTTGGGCTGTCAACGTTTACGGCCCGCTGCCGTCTGTTCGTGCTGATCTATTTGTTGTGGTTGGGCTCCGTTAAAATAAACACTTCGCGCGAGATGGCGATATATATCCACCGCGCTCGTTTACGTGTGCTTTTTGCTACTTCTGTCAGATTTTGGCTAAACATGAGCAACTTGTATCGTGATTCCTCAGCGCAGCAGACCGCACGCGGCTACTTTTGATGTTACCCCACTACATGTATCATTAGAATTACATTAGCATTGGTTGTAGAAAACGCCGTGTTAACGTGACGGATATGTGCGGAGTTAGATTTGATCTTCATATTCTAATTATGGCCCAAACTGCGTTAATTCACGCAAAGGATCTGCACGCAACCTAAATACTGTCGACCTTTCTTGAAAGACAGTGCAAATGTTATCAGAGTGAAGAAAGGTAAGTTGCGGTCGATCGATTTCTGTGCAGCGACTATAGTCAGCATCTTACGGACACCGTTTTTACACACACACGGGAATACACTCAGAGATGCGCAGTCAATCACGAACTCACATGCATTGTGACAACCCCACATATACGCGCACACACACGCACACGCGCGCGCGCAAGCACAAGCGTGCGAGCACACACACATTCACACGTACATACACACGCACGCACGCACACACCAATTTACATACACTTCCACGCACAAACATACAACTCGCGCACCCATTCACGCATGTAAACACTCACATGTACGCAACCACGAACACACCCCGTACTCGAACGCGTACACACGAACATGTACATCCGCACACATGTACACTCATTCATGTAAACACGCGCGTGACGTACGCACGCACGCACGCACGAACAAACGCACGCACACATGCATGATAATTTCACATGTGTGCCACGTACACTACTAATAACGTATATAATAACAACGCAGAAGCCGGCATAAACTACCTCCCATATACACCAACCGCAATTCGACATGGTTTATTTATGTTATCACATAATTTCTAACAAGAAGAATAAAAAATGGGTTGAAAGGAATTCAAGGTCTGGCTACCCGTTCTATCTTATCTTCCGCATATCGGCTTGTTCTTATGGATCACAGCTAGAATATTTGTTGTGATTTTGATAAAAATCGTAGCAGGCGAAAGTTACGGTTTAAGTTGAAGGTGTATACATGTTCTATGTCTAAGGAATACGTGGCTGGACGTGCTTCCTGTGTTAAAAGCACACAATATTTTAGAGGATATTATATAATTACAATACTCTAAATCACAACAACAGCATATTATATATATATATATATATATATATATATATATATACATTGTCATATATATCAGGGGTTAATAATGCCAAATATTTGTCATTATTAACCCCTGCTATATATATAGACAGACATATCATATCACGAACAGGAATACAGCAAACGATATATTCATGGACACTCATCGCAAATTTGTAATTTTACAGCAGAGATGCGAGGATCATATGGGGCTAACACATTTTGCCAGTCAGACACCTAATGTAAACAGATAACATATTAACAGTATACGGTACTGCTTTATATATACAGCTTCCACTATACTTCTCCAATTTCTTCAAACCTTTTCCCTATAGCATGTGTGGTGAATGTACTGTTATTTTCATAATGGTTCTTGTTTGTTTCCTTCTTTTACTGAAAACTCGATGAAGTTACAGTTCTTTTTCTTTAATGTTATACAGGGGTTTGCTAAGTTTGCAAAAGATTCGGATACCTGCATGGCAACCCTTTCACTCCATTCATACCTTATGTCACCGCTTACTAGATTAATAATTGCAATTAATTATAGAGTGTCTCAGGCGGTATTCTCTCTATATATTTATACTGCGCTTTTGATATCATAGTAATTTAGCAGTTTTCACACCATTTCATCTAACAGGTTTTTTTCCTGCAGTTAAGAATAGTAACATCAGGAGATCCTACCTGTTTCACTTGTTTCCCAGTAGTCGCCACTGGACGATGCAAAGCTGCTGCTGTCACAATGCCACTCAGATGAGCACGTGTCATACTTGCAGTCGGACACTTCCGATGGCGCAGCGCCCTCCGACGTGTCCGAACTTGAACAGCGGGATTTCACGGTGGTGCCACCTATCACAGTATCGCCTGAACTTTGTGACTCCGCACTCAACTGCTGACTGTACATTCCTTTCCGGAAGTTCTCGACGAATATTTCGATGTTCTGTTCAATTTGCGCAGACGAAGTAGCAGGCATTGTCAGTACTGTATACGGCATCCGTTCATGAGCTTCATTCAAAGGAGTAATCAAGCTAGTTATAAATACTGGTACAAATTTAGTTTTTGTGCAATAACAGTTGAGTCTGTAACAGACGATGCAGACACATACATGATTTCCTATCCTGTGGGGACGTATAATAATATAAGAGCAATTACCTCTGGGAAAAATTTAATTCGAAAATGAATAAATTAACCCTCACAGTCCTTAATGAAGCCATGCATTTACATAGCATAAAAGTAGCCTGACTCGCAAATTAAACGTTGAAAACGGAGTGTAAAAATCATAAAGGCAGTGTCAGTGAATTAAATGTCTACACAGATTTAAACTGTCTGAACTGGATTACGTAAACATACGTGGACGCCATCTGTTATTGCGAAATAGACTGACTATACGCGCTACAACACAAACACAAATTATTGATCATGCAGAGTTGTGCGATTACTGGGACTAAAACTTCTGGCTGCGATGTGACAATTACGAAACTACTATAAGCTAGCTGCCGAAATATATATGTATTATTTAGGCCTCCAACCAGCGTTAGCGCAAGATTACTGTAGAAGCCCTTGCACCTACATCATAAACACAGCCGCGTCATCAACACAATGTAAATGCATGGATGCCATGAATTTCATTCCCGTTGAAATTCCTACCGTGTATATAATCCACGACATTGTATGGATCCCTCCGGTCGACTCTCCCCGCTTGATTTTTCCGTGTAGCCGCTCGATTGCGTCACAGTTACACACGACATTTACGGTGAGTGTCCGCCATTCCTGTAAACGACGGAGAACGACGAACGAGACAGCAGCACCGTCGGTTCGGATCGTTTCGGAATAATGAGCAGACGGCGTCTGCTAGCGAGACTGCGTGCGTCGGCTGCCGCCGTCTCCTAGGAGATACGCTGGGAATGCGCACGTTCCCGCCTACTGCAGCGCGCCGGTGTATGGACGAAGCTCAGCACAGCACGTCAATATATATATATAGTTGGGCTTCACCTAGGCTTCGTGCAGCATATTGTGTGCGTGTCGCGTTCGCTCAACTCGGAAATGAGAGATGGACGCTGGAATGTTAAAAATGTTCAGCGTAATATAGACATCACAACATTTGCAACTACAATAATTGTGTCAACAAAGGTTTTTATGCATGGGCACAACGGAACATTAAACCGCTGTAAATTCTGATACGCGCTACCAAATCCAATGAAATTACCAGACTACGACGATCACACCGCGTCATATGTATCTGTCCCGTATTCTAACACTATAATTATTATAGTCTATAATGTGGTGATAATAACCATATTATCACTAATCACTGTATTAGCAGAATACATTTTGGCGGAAGATATATATAGTACACAGCCCTTGCCTAGCTAACAGCCCTAATTAACCATACCCGGTTAAATGACAATTGTCATTATTAGACAAGAGCCGCAAAGCATCTGGGCTCATCTGAGGTCTGTTGCTACGGTTATAAACGTAACATTTAAGTCGTGCGTAGTGACACCTTTGTTAGGCGCAGATATGCAGATACGCAGTTGCGTACACATCATTTCAGCAACCTTCTGCAATGCATTCTGCATACCTCCCAAATCCC